CCATCCATCCATCCATCCATTGTGTCAAGCACATTTGTACATTTGTTGCCATCATCATTTTCCAAACTCTTTCTACTTGAGCCCTTGGTATCAGCAAATTATTTTTATTCCCTCCCTCCCTCATGGAGCCTTGATAATTTATAAATTAGTATTATTATTTCATGTCTTACACTGACTGATGTCTCCCTTTACCCAACAGCACCCTTTGTGCACACCGTTCACCAGTGAGCAAAGAGATGGGGGACGATGGACTGAGTAGTGGCCCCCAACCCTGTGGGCAGGGAGAGCCGCACAGGCCAGGCTGCCTGCAGCATGGAGCCCGCCCTGGGAAAGCAAGCCTACTTCTCTCCTGCTCTCTTTCAGCCTCCGCTACCCAGTGCAGGAGCCTTCTCTCTGAGGAAACAGCCGTGCCCTGCCTCCTGGAGCAGCCCAACCGCAGGTGACAGACCACCTAGTGGCTCGTATGAAGTGGTGACCACTCCGACCAGCAGGTCAGTGTCTCCTGGGAGGGGGGGCGCAGAGGAAGACAAGCCAGAGGGTCCAAGTGGGGGAAAAGCATGATTGCTGTGGTTACAGATAGGTCAGGGCCAGCTGGCCAAAGCTTAAGGGGGCATCTTCCTGAAGTTCTGGAAGGGCTAGAGAACGAATCCCCACTGTGCTTCTGCCTCCAAGGAGGCAGAGGGTTTAGGATTGGGGACTTTGGGGAAGTCGTTTCCCTTCTCCACGGCTCCGTGTCCACATTTATGAAATGGGCATATGTATGAAGTGCCTGGGCAGCTTGCTTCCAACACTGCTGACAGGAGGTGGCAGCGTACTGTACAACACCAGTCTCTTCGTTTTCTGGAGTGACGATGGTTCTCATCATGAGCCCGGGGAGAGCGGCCGATGGCCTCTCTCTGGCCTGCCATCCTGGCCTGCGCCCAGGCTTGCCCTGCTTCATCCAGGCCTTTGCCGACTTGTCAGGGCCCTAGACATACACAGCCACAAGCTGATGCCATCCTTGGAAGAGGGGCTGCAGGCTCAGAGCAGCCAGTCAGTCACCCCAAGATGAGTGAATCGTCTGCCGATGTGCAGATATGGCGGATGGGGTAGAAAAGAGGCATCATGAATTACTGAGGGCTGCAGTGGAAGACAAGGAGCCTGGATGGAGCCAGTGATTTGTGTTTGTCTGCTCAGTGAAAGAAGCAAGGAGGAAAGGCCAGGGATCTGCTTCTGTTCGGATTGCAGGAAGAAAACTACCGAGCCGAACAAAACTTGGTCACCCACCTGAGGCAGCCATGAGTCACAATGGACTCTGTAGGAACCACGTGCTTGGTCTAGAGGTGGTGTGGGCATTGCAAATAGGTGACAGGACTCGGGCTCAGGGCTTCTCGAACCAGGTCACTAGGACTCAGAAAAAAAGCCCCTCAGAGGCCCCATGAGACCCCCCAGAGAGTGAGAGGTGATAGCCCCATGTCTCCCACCCCCTCCATGAGAGCAGCCCCCCTTTAATAGCCCTTATATTGCTATTCAGCTTTGGGTTCCCTTTGAAAGCCTTCCTGCTTTAAGTGTGTGTGTGTGATATATATATACATACATACATACATACATAAGTGAACTCATGTATTGCTCATGTTTTCCTCTCACCTGGAGTTAGTGGCTTGACTCAAAAGTGTCATCACAACTTTCTTCCTATAGGGTTGGCAGGGAGTGTCTGTAGCTGCAGGGGCTCCATCCCCCAAAGGTCCCTCAGCCCCACCCAGCCTTACATCTGCCCGCTCATCTGTCATCTACCTTTCCCACCTCATTTAGAACTGTGGCCAAAGGCATCTTCCCATACCCTCCTGGAGGGGACCTGAACATCAAGCTTTCTCATGAGGGCAGACAACAAAGCCCACTTTGACTAATGGCCCAGGCTGCTGAGTGGTCTCTAAGCTGAGCTCTCTGGACACATACCTTAGAGATGTAACCATTCTGTCCAAACACAGCACCCAGAGTTAACCATGTCCAGAGGGGCACACGCCATCAGTCACCCCAGCCTACCCTGTGAGCTTTATGCCTTGAGGGCCATTAGCTATGACTCCCCCTTTGGCCCTTAGGGAGTTACTTCTTCTTTTTTTTTTAATCATTTTATTGGGGGCTCATACAACTCTTATCACAATCCATACATACATCAATTGTGTCAAGCACATTTGTACATTCATTGCCCTCAGGAAGTTGCTTCTTGAGATGTGTATTGGTCAAGCCCCTAGCAGGAAGGAGATGGCACAGCTGAAGAATTCGTTGACTGGCGTTTAACGAAAGGATCTTTACAGAAGTTGGGCAGGGTTAAGGGGTACTGACAAGTGGGCATGACCTTCTCCTCTCCTGCCCTCTCCACTACCGTGGCTCTTTCTGCAGGGGTGGAAAATGGTACCAGTCAATCCCCAGTCAGAGGAGGAGCCCGCAGCTGCTGCCGAGAGATGGAGGAGCCCACCCCCGAGCCCGTCTTCGTTGATGTGGACAAAGGACTGACGTTGGCCTGCTTCGTCTTCCTCTGCCTCTTCCTCGTCGTAATGATCATTCGCTGTGCCAAGGTCATCATGGACCCTTACAGCGCCATCCCCACATCCACCTGGGAGGAGCAACACCTGGACGACTGAGCCGCAGGGCAAGGGGTGGGGACTGAGCCTCGAGGCGCTCTCTGGGCAGGGGGGCCCAGGGGATGCTTCCATGTCCCCTGGTGACTGACCTGCCAGCCCAGAGTCGGTCGCATGGGGGTGGAGAAAGCCCACCTCAGCCTTGCCTGCTCCTACACGAGCACAAGCGTAGAACGACCGGGTTGCCACGGCATTCCAACCACTGGCAAGTCTGCACTTAAGAGCCCTGGACCAGGCTCAGGAGGCCCGAGCTCAGTTTGGGGCGCTGCTGTGTGACCATGGGTGTCACTTGCCGTGGGTCCCCTGCACCCTTTGGATTCAGGGTCGGGCCAGACGCCCACCATCACACGATGTCTCCTTGGGAAGGAAATCTCTGTCCGTAACATATGAAGGGGCACAGACATTCGCCCTCGGCCTCCCAGGGCAGCCACCCCTTCCGAACCCAGGCTCTTCCCCAACACGGGGCCCAGCAGAGGGCAGACTGGTGGGAGGCACCTCCCCGGGACATTCATAAAGGGCACTGCTCTCAAGCAGGTTGGGTTTTGACTGAAATACAGAGGGATACAATGTTCCTATTATCAATGAAATAGGCATCTTAGAAATTTGGGGGTGGGGGTGGGGAATACAGGAAAATAGAAGGGTGCACATTTAAAAGTACATCTCTTCAAACCACAATTTTTAGATATTTTCCTCCACTCTTTTTGACACGTATTTTTTCAATCGCCACACTCCTACTGGGTGGGTGATGCCAACTCCCTTCATATCACAGCCTGAATGCCTCCCCTTTTTATCAAATCTCCGTGGCCACCGTGGGCAGTGGCTGCAGAGGATTCTGTCACTGAAGGGGTCAGAGTTCAGCAGTCATATCTATTGGTTGTCCTTTGACTTTAAAAAAAAAAAAAAACGAACTTTTCCTCACACAAAATTATTTCACCCAGTAGCAACCTTTTGTGGGTGTCCAGGCCATGAGAGGACTACTAGACAGGGAGACATGGCTTCCAACCTACTTTGGCTACTCAAAGGCCGTGTGGCCTTGGGCAAGTCACTTCACCTCTCAGTGCCTCAGGTCCCTCGTTGTACCATGGGCAAGAAAAGCCTTGTCCTTCGTAGGTGTAAACCCACGTGAATGAAAGGGTAGGAGTGGGTGGGGGGATGTTCTGAAAGGTAACAAGCTGTAGGTGGTGATGTGTAAGTTGTTGATGGTGACTCTTCTTGTGATCTCTCTCCACCCTTCCACCTACGTCCCACCCCCCACCTACATCTCTGGCCTTTCAGCACGAATACTGGACCAGAGCCCACAAACATGACCAAGGTTCAGCGTCTCCTTGCTTGTTATGTAATCCCGAAAAACTCACATCATCTCCCTAAGCTCCGGGTTCCTCACCTGTTTAATGAGGGACTAGCCTCGCCCTCACAAGGTTGTTGTGAGGAGGGAAGGAGAGAACAGGAGCAGACACGATGGCTCTTTCTTGCATCCCCCAGGCCAGGAGAAGCCGGAGTTCTGAGCTGGGAGGAGCACGGGTTTCTGGGTTTCCCCCTCTGCACATGCGGTGAGCCCCTGGGCTCCCCTCCAATTTCCAGGGCAGATTCCCACGAGCTAAGTTTCCCATTCAGAACCGCTAGTCAGAGGACTATTCACAGAACGCCCCCCTGGGAGCACCGGACTTCAAGGGGTATGGTGTCTATGCATTTACGTAGTTGTTTCTGCCATCAGCTTTCCCACCAACAAAACTCAAAGTCCAACTGGACCATCCGAGCTCCTCGTCCTTTGAGTGCATTTCTTCCATCCTGCCAGCGTGGGGCCTGCCCTTCACATCAGGAGACATACAGCTGTGAAGCAGCTCAGGGCTTCCTTTCCATCCCCTGCACCCCAGCCATGATTCCCCATCACCACCAGGCCGTGGGGGGAGGGGGCTTGGTGTTTCTAAAGCACCATCACCAGTAGGTGGACCCTGACACGGAGCAAGGCCATGCCTATTCAGACAGTGTTTCAGGGCACATTCAGCTGTCCCCCCACTAGTGGGATGCACAAAGGGACAGCTGGCAAAGTTAGGGGACCATGATGCAGCCAAAGCTCTGTATATAGGGAAGGTTCTGGAACAAATCACCTGTGTGTTTCCTCAGGGCCAGCAGCCGCCTCCACTCTGCTGCCTACCTCAGAAATCCCAAGCACGTCAACGCCCGGTCAGCGAATAGTGGACCCCCATGGGCAATGCAAGCATTTCTGATGCTTGGGAGAGAATGAATGTCCTAGCGCAATGCTCCTCAAACTGGCCCACATCTGCATCACTGGGAGTTTGTTAGAGAGCCAGTATCATGGGCCCCACTCCAGAACTTCAGATTCGGGATTTGGGGGGTCAGGCCCAGAAATCTAGATGAGCAAGACCCAAAAAGGATCTGTATACACACTAAAATCTGAGAAGTGCTGCCCGGGGAGCCCTTCATCCGAAGGATTTGGTATTTTTCAGCTCTTTGGTCTTCTTGATTTCCAATTCGGTATTTTCACACCTAGATCTGCTCATGTTTTCGTACTATTGTTTGATTCTTTTTGATGGCGGCCAGCCCAGCTCAGTCCTATCAGTCCCCTCAAGTGGATTCCGAGCCTACAGAACCAAGAACTGTCTCTGCATTAGTCTTCATGGGGGCAGTAGCCTCGGCTGGCTCCTAAAAAGTGGCTGCTAGTGGATTTGAACTACCGATCTTATGGTGAGCATCCCAATGCTTAACCCCAAGCACCACCAGAATTCACTTTTTAATGATCAGAGGAGTATAATATCTCAGAAAGGATAGAAAATTAAACAATAAAATAAACAAAACTTCCACCTCAATTCTTCAACAAAACAGTGATGTTCGTGTGTGTGTGCGCGCGTGTGTGTATGTGTTCCCTTCCAGTCCGCCACAAGTCCTGGTGATACTGTGGGTACGTGTCTGTCTGCTAACTGCAAGGTCACTCGTGGAAGCCTGGATGGAGACAGATGTGGCGGTCTGCTTCTGTAAGGATTACAGCCTTGGAAACGTGTTAGGCAATTCTATGTCATCCTCTCTGGTCACTGTGAGTCAAAATTGACTCTGGCAAGGGATTGGTTGTTGTTTCATCCTTGTCCACGTGGTTAGATTGAGTCATGAACGACATACCTATGTCCGAGTCTGCCCCTAACGTGACATCATGAGCAGGTTCCAGAGTTATCATTTTGATGTCTAGTTCAGATCTCCGAGTATCCAGATATCTGTTGCTGGCTGCTGGGATTGCTATCATTTTTCATGATTGTGCACGTGAAAGAACAAAAGAAGGCCTGGCTACACAAAGGTTAAGGGCTTGACTGCTAATCACAAGGTTGGCGGTTCACACCCACCCAGCAGCTCCATTAGGACAAAGACCTGCTGATCTGGGCCCATAAAGATGACAGCCCAGGCGGTTCTGCCTGGTCCCATATGGTTGCTATGATCAGAATGGACTCCAGGACGCCCAATGACAGTATGTACTAAGAGAAATATGATGGGGGGGGGGGGGGACAGATATGATGAGCCCTGGCAGCCTGCTCAGAACAGTGGAAGAATAACTATTCAAACTGCACCTCCACCCTCCAGGACACACTGAGGAGGGAGACTACTTAGACTTTTATTTTAAGGGGTTGGAGTGGGGAGATGTATGTCCAAGCTTCCGCTGTTGCTTTCTGATGCTCAAACAAATGAAGGAGATCATCCTTGGCGCTATATGCACTTTACATGTCTGGCTAGCTGAGACAAAGGTGGGGGTTGTCTCGAACTGTTTGGCAAAAGAAAACGCTTTCTAGGACCGAAGCTGTCCAAAAGGAGCGGAAAGCATTCTGGAAGGGAGTCCGTGGATTTGATTCCATGCCAGGACTTCGAGGAAAACATAGCCATGGAGAAACTTCCAGACCGTGGTGCCTGGTGGCTGCTTGGAGCCTGTAACGTGCTCTGCTGCCGAACCCTCACAGGCCCCCAACCCACAGTCAAGCCCGATGCGTACCCACCCGGTGTCAGTGTTGCTTTGGGACAATGAAGACAGTAGTCAACTCCCATCATGTTCATTTCATTTTATCCAATTATTTGCTCCAATGTCCATTGGTTCTCCTTAACTGGAAGACCAGTGTGGGTTTCCTTTCATAAAAGTGTCCCAGAATCCCAGAGTTATAGTCAATGCAAAGAAGGCTGGTTCTGTTTTAAATATGAGGTGGAAAACGGCAAAGCCTGGTGCGTCCCCTTGGCTAGTTTCCTGTCACTCGCTTTCATTGTCCAAGACTGGTCCTTCTGTGTATGATGGGTGACACCCTGTAATGCCTTCTCTGGCCTAAGGTCCAGTCTGCTGACTGGTCTCCAAGCTGAGGTCCCTGGGTCCACATTGTGCAGCTCTACCCAATTGTGCAGCTCTACCCACTCTATCTAAACATAGCACAAAGAGAGTTGGCTGTGTCCAGAGGGACAGACAGCCTACGGTATGAAGGTTCTGAACTTGATCGTCATCAGCTAAGACTCTTCTTCCCTCCAGGGAGTTTCTCTTGCACCAGCCAAGGCCCTAGCAGGAAAGACGAGGCACATCCAAAGCATTAATTGAAGGGCGTTTAATGAAAAGCTGTGTACAGAGGTTGGACAGGGTGTGTAATAAGGTATGCGTGGAGATGTGTCCTAATGGTACAATGAGGAGCATGCTACCAACACCCAGGAAGAGCTGCGACAATGAGAGAGTCCTTACCCCATAGAACCTGTGATTCAAAGCTGTGACCCAGTAGGTAAGGAGTTGAGGGAATAAAATAGTTTGACCTCTCACTGCCTGTCCTCCTGTCTCCAGTCTGAGTTGCCCAGTGGCCAAATACAAGAAAAGCTCAAGAGCATGGGAGCCCGGGTGCTAACTGGGCAGATGAACAATCACCTGCGTAATCCACTCCTTTTGCCATTGAGCATCCATCCAGATTTGCTTAGATAAGGGTAAAATCATATCCCCAGCACACGGAAACAAAGTCCTATCCACTACCATGTTGTCGGGGAAATATCAATGGAATGCCACTCACTCCCACTTAGAACTCATTTTGTAATATCGCTCCCCCTCCTGTATGGAATTTATGGTCACAAGGCGAAGTGTGAGAAAATGAAACCAGCAATATAGATTAAAAAACAAACTGCTAGAGTTCCCTTTCTTTGACTGGGGATGGGTCTAGGCTGATACCCTTTGCCTCATTCTTCCATTCCCCATTCCACAGTCCTTCTGTCTGGCAGTCCTTGGCTGTCAGAGTGATTTATCTGTTACAACAATAACCCAAAGAATCACTCACAGAAGACCCGGGTTCTTGGTTTCCACAGTTGCTGTGACCCACACAGACAATGAGAGGCCCTGGATGTCCTCACCAGGCAAGTGCTGGAGCTCTCCGGAGAGAGCGTCCCCAGGGCAAGATTACCCAAACGATGGTCCAAGGAAAGACAACATCAGCATCTCAGAGAGCTTGTCAGCACCTAAATCCATGCCCTCCCAGGCCTGCGTCCTGCGACTGTAGAATACAGAGTGACAAGAGGTCGTCCAGTAAATCCGGAGGTAGTCCTTGTACCCATTGTGGGACAGCAAATCCAATTACCCTTAGTCGTTGGGATAAATCTCTTTGGCAATAGAGTGACACCTTGTGATCTACTCGTTCAATAGGAGAAATCCCAAGTGGCCAAGGGTCGTCTCAGGTTCCAACTTCACAAACCCAAAACCATTTTTCCAGGTAGAACCCTTTCTTGGTCACTCGAAAGCCACCAAGCCCAAGGTTACAAGGCTGGGAAAATCCCATAAATGAATTATTAGGTGCTGCAAAATGGAGGTGAAGCCGTCTTATCTCTATTCTTTGGTTCTCAGACAAGTGTTTTCTGGATACGGGGAACATGGCAACGTAAGTTGGTCTCCGGTTTAAGACATGATACTATACCCTGTAGGTCTGCCAGCATCCCTGAGCTTTCTATAGGTCTAACTTTTGGTCATACCAACTGTTTCTGGGTGATGAGACATATAGTAAAACTGAATTCCAAGGGCATGAACCAAGCACTATCTGTCTTTCACAAAAAAAGAGTCCCTTAGTTGAAGATCGTATTTGTGAAATATGAGACATACGTGAAGCCCCACAAATGGTGGTGCAAATAGGAAGGAGGGGAGGTGCAAATTCATGTTCACAATATGTCTATTGTCTCCATGGTGGAAGGAGTCCAAGGTCATTAACCTGCTACCAAGGCATCAGCTTGTTGATCACTATCTACTCTTGGAAAAATAGAACCATGTCAGGAGATCAGCACTGGCCTCATCCATTGGCAAGTTGTGTACCCAAAAGTGACAGCTTTAGTGAAGGGAAGTCTATATCTTACGGAGCCCAAATATAGCTGTTAGCTCTTACATCGTGGCTACTAAAACCTGGGAACCAAATACCAGCATCTCCACCTCTCTCTCTAACCTGTAAAGGTTAGATTTTTAAGATTGCTGGACCCCTTTAATTTGTATCATGAGAATAGGATGGACCTCTGCGCCCTCCAGAGATGTGTGGTTTGAGGTTCGAGAACCACTCTGACGTTCCCATCTCCCTACACCTTCAGACTCCTACTACCCTGTCCCAGGGCAATGCCAGCATCTCAACCTCATTTACTGGAGGCCACTGAGTTCAGACGCCCGTGAACTTAGAACACTGAGACTGCCGCTCCCAGGTGCTCAAGCCAACACAGATTAAATGCAGAAACGTGTGTGCACGCACACACATCAATCAAGTCAGCCTGCTCCTATCGGATGTATTGTCTTCTAGGGTCTTAATTTATTGGAATCAAGTCCTGGATATGTTCACTAGAATCTTGCTGCCATAAAATTGGCAGGATTCTTCCACACTTTCCATGTTTGTGCTGAAGATCTTGCACTTCCGGCCAATTCTGGCATCTGACTCAAGTGATGGTCCCAGATGCAAGAAGGGTGTGTGTGAGAAGGTAGATCCTGGAATCACCCCTGGTGCCATTACTAGAAAAAGACTGTATTCAAAAGAAGCCTGGTTCTCCCAGACAGGGATCTGTGGGTGGTGTGCCTCAGCTTGGCTGTTAATGTGCCTCAGTTCATGTGCCTCAGCTTGGCTGTTAACAGAAAGCTTCAAAGTCCAAGTCCACCTACAGGCACCACAGAAGAAAGGACTGGCAATCTATTCTGAAAAGGGAGTTATTGGAAACCCCATGGAGCATAATTTTGCACGGACACAGTGGGTCACCATGAGGAGGGACTGACCTGGAGGCTCCTGGCCTCGCTTCAATTTCCCCTCAAGCAGAGGTGGAGGGTCTCTTCACGGGCAAGGAAACTCCCTGGACATTTGAGAAATCTAAGTTTTCAGCCCCGTGGCATCGCTTGGGGGTCAGACCACACCAGGTGACACCATCAGAGGGGATGACACCCAAATGATTGTCTATGAAAGTTTTGTTTCAGCAAAAATGCATTATCTTTAATAAAATCATCCTTGAAGTTATAGCAACAAAACTTTGTTTTTCCATTAGCTCAGTTTACATGTATCAGTATACTGACCAGGCTAAAACTTTATGCTAATTTACCGTTTGAACTTTTTAATGAGCTCTGGTCAGAGCTCAGTTACATGAACACTTTGAGTCACACGTTTTCATCTCCCAATTTAAGCACACCCTGTTTTTGTTGCTGCTGATATTTTTGTTATTTATTTTAAGTAGTTTTATTGGCATACACTTAACATAACATACAATTTAATCTTTCAATTATATTAAGAGTTATGCAACCATCATCACAATTTCAGAACATTTTCTTCTCATACTCATTGTTGATAACTCCCCATTTCCCCACATCTGC